CGCTCTACCTTTTAACGCGCTTCAACTTAACCTTTACCTTTTTTACCATTTCCACAACTCCCTTCCACTTCCACCTTGTCTTGTCTTTCCATGATCTGTTCATTTTAAACAATTTCTTCCTATGCTCTCATTTTATAAATTTTTATATATATTTTATATTTCTTAATTTTCTTTTTCATTAACTAACTTTTGTTTATCTCTATCTTTTGTTTATTCACTCTATTTTTTTATATATTTTTTCTTCTACTTCATTTACTTATTATTCTATTGTATTTATTACCCCAAAATCCTCCTATATTATTCTTATCCCTTTTTATTCTAATTTATTCTTTCTCTACTTTTTCTTTTTTTAAATTCATCTCATTCTTTTTTTAAAAAACACCCAAAAACAAAAACACAACCAACACAACACAACCAATAAAAAATAATGCAAAACACCAACCAAAACACACACACACCAAACAAACACCAAAAAACACACCCCCAAAACAAAAACTAACAACCAACCACAACTAATACAAAACACCAAACACCCAACCAACAACAAAAAAAACCACAACCACACACACCACACCACACAACAAATCACAAAAACCCGCCCACAAAAAAATAACTACAACAAACACACCCAACAAACACCACTCTAAATCACAACCCTACACACGAACAATCGCAAAAAACTACAATAAAACAACGCAAAAAAAAAAACCCCCCAAAAGACAAATAAAACCCAACAAAAAACAACCAACCCATAAAAACCCCGCACACACCCCCCCCAAACCCACAAAAACACACACCCCAACACTCCAACACCCCAACACAACACAACACCCCCCCACACCACAAAACACAAAAAACAACACACCAACACACCGCCCCCCCAAAACCCCCACAAAACACACCCACAAACCACCCCAAAACCAAACAAAAACAACAACCACCACAACCCCAAACAAACAACACCAACAAAACAAAAACACCAAAAACACAAACAAACAACCACAAACAACCCACACACACACAAACAACACCCCCACCCAACCAAAAAACAAAACAACAAACAACCAACAACCAAACAACAACAACAAAACCAAAACACCCAACAAAAAAAAACCACACAACCCCACCCCCCACAAACAACCCCCCCACCCACCACCACACCACAACCACCCCACCCCCCCCAAACCCCCACAACACAAAAACACAAACCACCACACACCCACACCCCCCCCCACACCCCCCCACCCCCCCCCACCCCCCCCCCCCCCCCCCCACCCCCCCCCCCCCCCCCCCCCCCAACCCCCCCACCCCACCCCCCCCCCCCCCCCCCCCCCCCCCCCCCCCCCCCCACCCCCCCCCCCCCCCCCCCCCCCCCCCCCCCCCCCCCCCCCCCCCCCCCCCCACCACCACCCCCCCCCCCCCCCCCCCCCCCCCCCCCCCCCCCCCCCCCCCCCCCCCCCCCCCCCCCCCCCCCCCCCCCCCCCCCCCCCCCCCCCCCCCCCCCCCCCCCCCCCCCCCCCCCCCCCCCCCCCCCCCCCCCCCCCCCCCCCCCCCCCCCCCCCCCCCCCCCCCCCCCCCCCCCCCCCCCCCCCCCCCCCCCCCCCCCCCCCCCCCCCCCCCCCCCCCCCCCCCCCCCCCCCCCCCCCCCCCCCCCCCCCCCCCCCCCCCCCCCCCCCCCCCCCCCCCCCCCCCCCCCCCCCCCCCCCCCCCCCCCCCCCCCCCCCCCCCCCCCCCCCCCCCCCCCCCCCCCCCCCCCCCCCCCCCCCCCCCCCCCCCCCCCCCCCCCCCCCCCCCCCCCCCCCCCCCCCCCCCCCCCCCCCCCCCCCCCCCCCCCCCCCCCCCCCCCCCCCCCCCCCCCCCCCCCCCCCCCCCCCCCCCCCCCCCCCCCCCCCCCCCCCCCCCCCCCCCCCCCCCCCCCCCCCCCCCCCCCCCCCCCCCCCCCCCCCCCCCCCCCCCCCCCCCCCCCCCCCCCCCCCCCCCCCCCCCCCCCCCCCCCCCCCCCCCCCCCCCCCCCCCCCCCCCCCCCCCCCCCCCCCCCCCCCCCCCCCCCCCCCCCCCCCCCCCCCCCCCCCCCCCCCCCCCCCCCCCCCCCCCCCCCCCCCCCCCCCCCCCCCCCCCCCCCCCCCCCCCCCCCCCCCCCCCCCCCCCCCCCCCACCCCCCCCCCCCCCCCCCCCCCCCCCCCCCCCCCCCCCCCCCCCCCCCCCCCCCCCCCCCCACCCCCCCCCCCCCCCCCCCCCCCCCCCCCCCCCCCCCCCCCCCCCCCCCCCCCCCCCCCCCCCCCCCCCCCCCCCCCCCCCCCCCCCCCCCCCCCCCCCCCCCCCCCCCCCCCCCCCCCCCCCCCCCCCCCCCCCCCCCCCCCCCCCCCCCCCCCCCCCCCCCCCCCCCCCCCCCCCCCCCCCCACGGGGGGCGGGGGGGGGGGGGGGTTCCCCACCCCCACAACCCGCCCGCCCCCCCCCCCCGCCCGCCCCACTACAAACAACCCACCCACCTAACCTATC